CATAAGGATCCATGCTGGTGAATGGTTCGGCGAATGGCAACGAGTCTCCTTTCAAACGCGTGCTTCTCTCCCTAAGGAGTCCTGCCAACAAGTGTTCCTGAAATGTGAGGACTGGGCTAAAACGTACGACTGGGCGCATCTACCAAAATAGTGATGCAATGCAAAATGGACATGTGGATCAGTCCAGTGACCAACCCAATGACGGACAGTGTGGCGATCGCGAGGGATACCCAGGAGGTTATCACGAGGGCGGCTATGCGTGGCCTGCTGAAGGCGACGACGCGCAGACTTGGAGAGGAGCGCAGTGGTATGAGGATGGCCGTGTGGATGCTGTAAACAAACATAGAGTAAATTGGAAAGTGACGTGTTGCAGGTGTGGCAAAACGGGGCACGTGGTCACGAACGGCAAGGGGAAAGGCACCCCCAAAGGGAAATGCCCCCCCGGCTGGCAGACGGGAAGCGGCAAAGGAGGATGTGGAGGTTGCACGGGGTCGCCCAGGCTTACCGAGCCACCTCATGCAAATTCTGTCAGGCAAATGCTACGCGCCCATCAGTCGTGGTCGCAGTGTGCTCGTGTGCATGCAACGCGGCGGCCCCCCGGGACTGGGTGCCCATTTTCCTGCGAGGCGCGCAGGGGCCTCCGGTGGCGGCCGACATTGTAGCGCGGCGAATTGCGCGACGACAGGAATAATGGCTGTCAGAGTGTAATCGTGGTCAACAAGTGAGAGTTGTGGCCGAGTGAGCATGCCCATGCAAGCGGGCCGATGTTGAGAAGGTGTTGGGGTCCGCTCGGGAAATGATCGAGGCGGGTGGCCGAATGGCGTTCGACTGGGGTGGGCGCGGCAAGTCTCGCCGTTACCTGGAGCCGAAGGCATCGGGAAATGGCCGCAATCCACGGGCGCAGCGGCGCCTTCCAGCTCGCAATCCAAACGCTCGAGGGCAAGCGGGGGGCGTCGCAACCAGGGCGCGAAGTTGGTGACGAGGGGGCCCCCTTGTTCCTGGGCGGCGAATCCTTCGAGAGCCTCTCCCACAGGGCACCGGATGTCCCGCCGGGCAACCCGCTGCGGAGAAGGGGGGCGACAGTTGGGGCGACGGGGGGGAAAGGGGGGCATGGGGGTAAAAGTGGGCCTGGTAGTCATGGCCGGTATTGAAGATGGTCATGGGCTAAGAGGCCGCCGGGCTGAAAATGCCAGAACGCTATAACGTGTGACCCTCGCCCCAGCCAGATCGGAATAGAGTGGCGCAATCGGGGTCGCCCCCCCCGCCGAAAGTTGCGCCCTCGTTGCGCGCGTGGAAGAGCCTGGCGCCGGCGCCGGCCCGGCTGGGCCAGGGTAAATGGAAGCAAACCAGATGGAGTTCTCGTGGTATCAGCAGATTGCAAGTGGCTAAAGAGCACGCGATCGTGGTTCAAAGACAAGACATAATGGGGAGGAAGTCGTGCAATGTAACCCGGTATGAGGCGTCCCGAATTGAGTCGAGGTCGCGCGAGGATGGAGAGATGTGTCGGCAACTGCTCCGCCAAGGTCGTGGAATGCATGATTGCGTGCGCAGGTCGCCGCAGATTCATCTTGGAGGGCAATGGTGGGTCCCCTATATCGGTCCTCTGGAAGATGCCGTCGAGGCAGCTTTGCAAATTTTCATGGAAGTTAACAATCAGCCCAGTGGGCGACTCGGCAGCCGACGGTGGGGCGGGGTTGGTGATTCGCGCGGTGCAACGTCAAGTCGGGTGCCCCAGACGCGCTTTGGATACCATTTGCAAAACAAATGAGGGGGGGGGGGGGGGCACTGCCGCGCGGCGGCGGAGGCGGCGTCGCGTGCGTCGTCGCTTGTCTGCAGGGTCACGATGGGCCCTGGCGGTGAACAGTTCGCGAGAGGTGTCGGGGCTTAAAATTCAATGCAGTTGCGCCGAAGTCTGGGAGATCGCCATGTATTTTATATCTGGGGCCAAAAGAGGACGCAAGTTAGATCCATGATGGGGGTCCGTAGTATTACTGGGAGTGCGTGGCAACAGTCAAGAACTAAGTATAGGAACTCGCAATTGCGCCGCGGGGTGGGCGGAGAGCAGGGGGAAAAGGGGGCGAAGGGGAGAGATGGTGCTTCGTGGAAATGGAAAGGTTCGCCCGGGCTTCCAGGCCCCAACCCAGAGGGCGGCGATGTGCAGCCAAGAATAGTCGTGCCCATCGAAGGCGCAAACGAGTCCAGAATCGAGGGGAAGGGGTACCATGTCCCGCGTTATGAGAGGTGGCTGTGGGGGGCAGCGGAATTCGTCGGGGTGGGGGCGCCCCCGGGGCGTTGCCGGCGGAGAGCGCTTGCCGCGGGGGATCTTGACGGCGAAGGCCTCGCAACGCGGAGCGCAGTATTTGCAGCAAGTCGTGGGGTGGTTCTTGAGGCGAGGAGATCGCGGCGTTCAACCGAGGCTGGCGTCTGCCCAGATGCGGTTTGACGAGAGCGAATGGGGGGGCTAAGTCAGCGCGAGAAGGAGGGGTCGCGTTTGCGAAAGAGACATGGGCTTGCAGGGCGACGCTCCGCGCCAGTAGCGCCGGTGGCTACTGGATGAAGATGGAGACAATCTAGTCAGATTGCACGGGGTGATGAGGGATTGGTCATTCAATCCAGAACGGGACTGGGACTTAGAATGGGAGGGGGCGTGGGTGCTCGAGCCCGAAGAGAGACGTTCGCGCCGTAGTAGCAAATTTTGCGCCAAAGTGAGCAGCGTTGAGATCGCTGAGGCACAGTATGATTGGATGGCGAGCGGAGAGGCGACCGAGACGGATGACAGCCAGGGCCCCCAGCGCCGCGACAGGAGACGAAGCCCGGAGGAGTTGTCGGGCAAAGAACTGAAGAGTAACAGGGTTCACGAGGATGATGAGGCAAGGCTGACCAAGTAACTCTCGGCCTCGAACGCGTGAACATGAACTTTGTTGCCGGCTGGGTGACGGGCGTCGTGGGCTTCAGTGCGCTGTTTGTGGGGCGCTTGTCAAGGCGATCAAGGCGATCGGTTGGGCTATGCGGCAAAAACCAGACAGTGGTTCAAACTCATGTGAGCGAAGCGCATTCACCCGTGGGGGCGACTGGCGTCGCGGACGAACTGGGAGTCGCGCTGGGATTGGTCGTGGACGCGACGACGCGTGACGAACGTGGCAACCCATCGGATTCACCTGTAACAAATGCGCCGAATGGCAGAGAGGACAGTCAATGCAAAGGGGCGGCGTTGCTAATTGCAAACCCTATGCGCGCGGGCGCGGCCTGCAGCCGACTGACGCAATTCAACCAGCAGCGCTGGGCGAAGACAGAGTCATATGCAGTCTTGCTTGCGGGTTCGAGCGCCCTCAACTCGCCCCGGTAGTGCTTGAGATGCAGCCGCGTCGTCAGGCTGGCAGACCATTCCAGCGCAATGAATGCTAAACAACCAGGATGTGAGAACATCCCGCGGATACGTGTGCAGTCGTGGCATGGGGTCAAAATTTACGGGAGGGGAATGGTGGGCGAAAAACGAACGAAATTCATGACTCATGCCGAAGTGATGGGCTGTGATTTCGGTCATGGATGCATTGGGGCCCACTCTTGCGTGGAGCTAACCAGAGCAAGAATGTCTGACGTGTGCCCAGACTCTGTGTGCAGAGCAATACTCGTTGGTTTAGTCAACGAGATCATAATGGGGGCAACGCATCATAATGTGGATTTGAAGAGGACTGCGTGATGGAAGTAACCGAGCAAGTCGACGCCAGAGCAAGATCGCGAATGACAGCTAGGATGGGCGCGACAAAATGATGATACATATTGTTAGTGCTTCCCGGTGGCGATGGGCCGTGTTTGGGGGCGCGCGCCCGCGGTGTCGTTCGTGGCAGAAATGTCGGTCATATGATCGAAGGTAGACCTACATGTGGCTTCGCCGGCCGCGAAGGGAGACGACCGTTCAAGGGGGCCCGCGCGGCGCGGGCATTGAGTATATTTATTCCGTGCTGGCTTGTAGTAACATAGGGGAATGAGACCAATGGCCTGGCAGGTTTTCGATGCGACGCGCCGCGACGGCGTGGGGGCCCTTCGAGTTTCGGAGAGCGTTGCTGGCAACGAACTCATGCCCGATCTCAGTGGAGATGCCTGGCGCGAAGAAGCGGAGGGGCAGTTTCGCGAGTGCCAGGTGTGCGAATAGGTGAGCCAGGGCGAGCGTTGGCAGGCGACTGGGAAAGCGCCACTTGGAACCCGTGGGCTTTTCGTAATCGAAGTTGATGAAAAAGGCTCCGACTGCTGGCCGTGGTTTGCGGCGCAGCAGGCGAAATCTGGCTCGAAGGAGAAAGTCGTATTTGAAGCTTTGCCGCCGCTGGGGGGCCGGGAAGCGTCGTTCCCGATGGCCGTGACCGAGGGCGCCAGTCTTGGTAATGGTCGGAGAGACATTGGCTGAAGTTGTCATTCATGACGTCAGCAGGGCGCATTTCTATGCGCCGGCCCAAAGCTATTTTGAAGGTTATCAGCCACCTGCAGATTTTGGGCCTGGACAGTGCAGCAAGTTACTCAAGTCCATGCGCGGAACCTGGGATGCCGCGAGCAACGGGGGGGGCCTGCTACTCGCATGTCTGAAAGAGGTCAGGATTCGAATCGGGGCTTGCCGCGCCGTGCGCGTTCAGACATGCAGTTCGGAAGCTGTGGCGAACTGTGCGCGTCTGCGATTTCACCAGATTGGGGAACGGTTGTGACATGGACTCGTTCGACAAGGAAATAACGGAGGAGTGCAAGGTGAAGGTGCGAGGGAGGCGTGGGCCTGGAGGAGTATCTGAGGTCAATCAGGATTCTTGGTGGACGAGTGACGGGGCGAGGTGCGAGGCTGACCAGAAGTGTATAGAGACAACAGAAAAAAACAATCCGGGGTAACGGCATGCGGGCCAGATGTGACGTGCCCGGGGCGAAATTGTGGGTTGGCGCAGGCAGCCGGGAAGGCGAGCAAAGTTAAGCGTGAGACTTATCAGGCTCGTGGAGTTCGGGCCAACTACTTAGATCAGGATGGATATGGTCCGGTTTCTTTGGGAGAGTTTGTGCGACGCGTGTCAGCGCCAATGGTGGGATCGATGAACAATCTAGTTTGGGTTAGGCAATATATATATAGAGAGAGAGAGAGAGAGAGAGAGAGAGAGAGAGAGAGAGAGAGAAAGAGAGAGAGAGAGAGAGAGAGAGAGATAGTCGAACGTATGCTACGTTAGATATCGGTGCGGGCCGACGAGGACTATGCGGGTTGTAGGAAACCCGGGAAGTCGACGAGCGGGGGGGTCGTGATACCGGGGGGCCACGTGACAAAATTGCGGAGTTCACCGCGATTTGTACTTGCGTTATCGTCAGCAGAAGCTGAGTGCTATGACATCGTGAAAGGGGGCTTGGTGGCGTTAGGGTGACAGTCTGTTCTGGGAGATTTCGGAGTGACGTGTCAAGTCGGCGTCGGGAGAGACGCTGCAGCAGAAATGGCCGTTGCCAGTGGGACAGGTTTGGGAAAATGGGGGCAGGTCGAGGTATGTTTGCTGTGTTTGCAGGAGAAAGTCAGGAACGAAAGCGCTCAATTCATAAAAGTGGGAACAGAGTATCGAGAGGGGGCGCTGCGGGGCTCTTCCGTCTCATGGTTGGCACGTCCAGCTCAGCGTGATATTTTTCATGTGTTTCTTCGTCACAACATCGGCACCAGTATCTCCATCATCGTCATCATCATCAGCATCGTCATCATCTGCATCCTACGCGTCATCATCAGGTTCGTGTTGGGGTATCTCCAGCACATCTTGGGCGATTGTGCGCCGAACGCGTGCCGTTTGTGCGATTCCATCCAACGGAATCAAAATTATTGATGGTGCATGTGCCCCATATTTAGAATCCCTTTGTAACAGCGTTTTCAAGATGGCCCACTTTGTGGCGATCTTACAAGAAGTATTTCACATGTGAGGGACTTGCGATGGCAGCGCTTTCGGCCCAGGAGAATTAGATAGGAAAACAGGACAAACCGGACACATAAGACAAATCATGTCCTTCCACCGGGAAGACGAAACACACATCCAGGAAAATTTGTTCAAGTCGCTATGATTATGGTGCAGGTCCCCCGCAACTAAAACCGTTTTGTAGCAACGTTTTGCACTTGCGCTCCGATCTTACAACAGGAGTCTAGTGGTGGGGGATCTGAGCCACAATCATAGCGATGGTCATCGGTCTTCCGAGCTTTCTTTCATTCTTCGTTGTGAAAACACAGGCTTTTTCTTGTTTGTGTGGTTCGTCTGGTTTTCCTTTTTAGCTCTCCTGGGCTCAAGGTGCAGCCGTTGCAGATCCCCACCGCAAAATCACCACATCAGGAATTCTTTTGTGCATGCGGCTGCAACAAGAATTCTGGTGCGGGGGATCAGCAAAAACATAGTGGCAGTCACAATTCTTCATAGTTTTTCCTATCTCCATATTTCCCCATGTGAAACATACTTATCGTGTAGCGATTATTCTGTTGTCTTTTGATGAGTGGTTTTCGTTTTAGCTTCCCTGGGCTCAAGGTGCCGCGGGCTGATGATGATGCTGATGATGATGGTGATGATGGTGTGCTGATGATGATGATGATGATGGTGGTGATGATGATGAGGAGGAGGAGGAAGAGAAGGAGGAGGCATAGGATGATGAGGAGGAACAGGAGGAGGAGGAGGAGGAGGAGGAGGAAGAGGAAAGAGGAGGAGGAGGAGGGCGGTCGAGGAGGCCGAGGAGGTGGCCGAGGAGGTGGCCGAGGAGGAGGAGGAGGAGGAGGAGGAACAGGAGGAGGAGGCGGAGGAGGAGGAGGAGGAGGAGGAGGAAGAAGAGGAGGAGGAGGAGGAGGAGGAGGAAAAGGAGGAGGAGGAAGAGGAGGAGGAGGAACTCGCGCGTTTCTCCTTCGCGGGACAGGTCGTGGACGACTCGGTGAACGCGTCGAACCAGCTATCCGCCAAAGCGAAAGCCAACCTCATGGGAGCGGGACGGGCCGCTGCCTCCCAGGTATCCAGCATTATGGGGGGAAGCTTTTGAGTGTTTTCGGCCTGTCAGGAACCCCGCTGGGCCCCAGGACCGTTAAACAATGGGAACCCTCCGAGGCCAGTGCGGCGGCTGGCCCTGCTGAGGCCGCCGTCGACGTGGAGGGGTCGCCGCCCCTGGCCGATGGCCTCGAGCGGTCTCTGGCATTTAAGCGGGTGCGCTTCAGGGCGGATGAGGGGCGCTGGGACGAGGGCCTTGAGGAGGCGGCGGGCAGGCTGACCAAGGCCGCTCGCCCCCGAGGCTCCGAGGAGCCCGTGCCCCCCTCCCCTGCCCCCCACTCGCGTGCCAGGACGGGTGGGGGGCGCCATGGAGGACTGGTCCTCTGGTGGGCCGCGCCCGAAGGCCCCTCGGCCCCTGGCCCCGCCCCCCGCCGTCGGCCCCGGTGGGCCTCCCCCCCTGGCGGCCCTTGTGGGCCTCCGCCCCGCAAGAGGGCTCGGACCTCTGGGGGTCCGCTGCGGGGGTTTCCTGGGCCGCGCGTGATGCTGTTCTTCCTGATGTCCCCCTCCCCGCTCCAGGCCCTGTTGGGCCTAGTAGCGCCCGGGGACACCATATCCGCCTTGCTGGAGCTACCATTGCATTTTGCCTTCGGTGTGGCGCGCGGGCCCAGCCGACGGCCTCGCGCTCGCGGCTCTGGGGTCACTGCGAGGGCATTGCATCCAGTAAGGACGCCACTTATCTGAAGTCCTTCGAGTCGGGTAAGGACCCCATCTCGGGGGAGTGGCGGGGGGACTCCTGTCCACTTCTCTCTACGGACGATGCCTGCTTTTGGCTTCGTCTTAGATAGCTCTTTCGGGCTATTTTCCCGTTCCCGTCGAGTTGCGCGTGCTCGTCTTTTTTTCCTGCTCGTTCTCTGTCTCTGCTGCTGCTCTGCGCACTCGTTTCGGTCTGGTGGTGCCTCCTTCTTCTCCTTCTTCCTCTCCTTCTCCTTCTCCTTCTCCTCCTCCTCCTCCTCCTTTCTCCTCCATCCTCCCCATCCCCCTCCCCAGTAGCTGCGCAGCGCCAGCTCCCCGAGTCAGCCCTCACAGCCGCGCTGGCCATTTTTTCGCGAGGCCTCGGCCTCGCCCCCTTTCCGCTCTGAGGGGGCCCTGGGCTATCGTCTGAACGACGAGTGTGCCAATTCCAATTCCGACTCCCTGTCCCCAGACTCTCTCGCGTTGTGAACAGAATCACAACGGGAGGTTTTTCACAATTTTCGGCCTCCGGGGGCCCTTACCAGGCTTCAGGGCCGCCAAAAACGACCCAGGATGGAAAGCCGGTCCCAGGGAATATGTCCAGACCTTTCGGGGTCACGTCATGAAAAAGTCATCTTCTTTCCCCGTCTATTTCCCGCTCTTATCCCAGTCTCCATGGCCTCCCTCCTCCCTGTCCTTCTGCTTGTGGGCGTCAGGGGGGTTAGGGCAGCGGGGTTGGGTCGTTGCCCCGGCTGCAGCCTCCTCCGGCCCCCCCTTCCAGAGCCATGAGCGGATGGAAGGAGTTTCGTTTTCAAGAAAGAGGCCTCTCTTCAGTGGCAGGGCCTAGGGGCCATGGGGCCATCGTCTTTCAGCGGGAGTGGCTTCCGAAGTGGAGGAAGGAGTATTCTTTTGGATCCGTGATGGGTGGGCTTGTGACGGGAGGTTGTCTCGCAGCTTCGCTGATGCAGTCCTCTGGCTCGTCCTCCTCCTCCTCTTCCTCCCTCCCTCTTCCTTGTCCGCGGCGTCGCCGTCGCCGTCGTCGCCGCCTCGCCTTCGGCGTCGTCGCCGTCGCCGTCGCTGTCGCCGTCGCCGTCGCCGTCGCCGTCGCCGCAGCCGCCGCCGCCGCCGCCGCCGCCGTCGTCGTCGTCGTCGTCGTCGTCGTCGTCGTCGTCGTTTTCGTCGTCGTAGTCGTCGTCGTCGTCGTCGTCGTGGTCGTCGTCGCCGCCTCGCCTTCGGCGTCGTCGCCGTTGCCGTCGCTGTCATCGTCGTCGTCGCCGTCGCCGTCGCCGTCGCCGCCGCCGCCGCCGCCGCCGCCGCCGCTGTCGTCGTCGTCGTCGTCGTCGTCGTCGTCGTCGTCGTCGTGATCGTCGTCGTCGTCGTCGGCTCTCGAGCCGTCGGAGCCGCCAAGCCTTCGCCGCTGGGGAGTGGAGGATTCGCCCGCATCCGCAGCTGGCAGCGCCCCGGGCACGTCTGCCGCTTGATGGTGCCTCAATGCCTGGGTCGTCGTCGTCGTCGTCGCTGTCGCCGTCGTCGTCGTCGAGTCGTCGTCGTCGTCGTCGTCTTCGTCGTCGTCGTCATCGTCGTCGGGCCGTCAGCGTCGTCGTCGCGATCTCCGTGTTTCTCGTCGCCGTCGTCGTCGTCGTCGTCGCCGTCGTCGTCGTTGTCATCGTGGTCGTTGTTGCAGTCTTCGTCGTCGTCGTCGTCGTCGTCGTTGGCGTCCGCGTCGTCGTCGTCAGGATCTCCGTTTCCGTCTTTGTCGTCGTCTGCGTGGTCGGAGGAGGATGAGGAGGAGGTGGAGGAGGAGGAGGTGGATGGAGGAGGTGAAGGTGGATGGAGGAGGTGGAGGTGGATAGAGGCGGAGGAGGACAAGGAAGAAGAAAAGCGGGAGGGTGAGTAGAAGGGGAAGGGGTCGAGAAGGAGCAAGGGGGGAGGAGGAACAGGGAAAGGAGGCAGAGGAGGAGGATAAGGAAAGTGAGAACGAGCATGATGAGGATGACAATCAAGCTGCTGCTGCTGATGACGGTGACGGTGACGGTGACGGTGACGATGATGATGATGAGGATGAGGAGGAAGGGGAGGAGGATGACGATGACGATGGTGATGATGATGATGACGACGATGGAGATGATGATGATGAGTATGATGATGGTGACGATGCTGTCGCCGCTGATGATGAGGGTGATGCTGATGAAGATGACGATAACGACGATGATGAGGAGGATGACGATGATGTTGTTGATGCTGATGATGATGTTGATGACGATGATGATGATTTTGATGATGATGCTGATGACGATGACTACGACGATGATGAAGATGATGATGAGGAGGATGATGATGTTGATGACGATGCGGATGAGGATGAGGATGAGGATGAGGATGATGGTGATGATGCCGATGCTGATGCTGATGCTGATGCTGTTGATGATGGTGGTGGTGATGGTGCTGAGACTGATGCTGATGCTGATGTCGGTGATGATGATCATGATGACGAATGATCCTGATGATGATGATGCTTATGATGATTATGATGATGATGATGATGATGATGATGATGAGGCGGAGGAGGAGGAGGAGGAGGAGGAGGAGGAGATGGATGATGAGGATGATGATGACGATGACGATGATGGTGCTGTTGCTGATGCTGCTGCTGTTGATGATGATGGTGGTGGTGCTGATGCTGTTGCTGATGCTGATGCTGATGCTGATGCCGATGCTGCTGATGATGATGCTGATGACGATGATGATGAAGATGATGATGACGATGCTGATGATGATTATGATGACGATTACGATGATACTGCTAGTGATGACGATATTGATGATGATGATGACTATGCTGATGATGATGATGCTGATGATGCTGTTGATAGTGATGATGATGCTGCGACTAATGATGCTGATGCTGATGATGCTGATGATGATGCTACGGCTGTTGATGGTGATGCTGATGCTGATGCTGCTGCTGATGATGATGATGAGGAGGAGGGTGAGGATCATGCTGATACTGATGCTGATGCTGATGCTGCTATTGCTGATGATGATGCTGATGCTGATGATGCTGATCTCATGCTCATGCTGATGCTGATGATGATGCTGATGATGATGACGATGATGATGTTGATGCTGACGATGATGATGATGATGATGATGATGATGATGATGATGATGATGATGATGATGATGCTCATGCTGATGCTGATGATGATGCTGATGATGATGACGATGATGATGTTGATGCTGACGATGATGATGATGATGATGATGATGATGATGATGATGATGATGATGATGATGATGTTGAGGATGATGATGCTGATGACGATGATGATGCTGATGATGATGATGATGCTGATGCTGATTCTCATGCTGATGCTGATGCTGACGCTGATGCTGATGCTGATGATGATGAGGATGCTGCTGCTGCCGCTGCTGATGATGATGATGATGATGATGATGATGATGATGATGATGATGATGATGATGATGATGCAGGTGCCCACGGCCAATCCGTCACCAGGTCAGAATAGCGCTTTGCGTGCCGATCCGTAGAGCGCCGCCCAGAGCCCCGTAACATGTGACACCTTCCGTCTCCACTTCGTGAGGAGCTTCCATGAGGCTTACTTGGGTCGTCTTGGGGCTGTTTTGTGTCCCCGTAACGAGTGCTAGGAGTCCCTTGGGCTCTTCTTGGGCCGTCTTGGGGCCTTCTTGGGCCGTTTTGGGGCTCTCTTACGCAGTCTGCGGGCTCTCTGGGCCGTCTGCGGGGCCTCCTGAGGCCGTCGCGGGGCCGTCTTGGGGTCGTCTTAGGCCGTTCAGGGGCCTTGTTGGGCAGTCTAAGGTCCCTCTTCGGGCCAGCTTGGGGCTCTCTCGGGGCCGCCCCAGGCCATGTAGAGACCCCATTGGAGCTCTCAGTGGGTTCCTTCGGGCTTTCGACGACCGCAGGTGAACCGATCTTCGACCGAAGAGCGTGGAACTCGACATTTCTTACCATATCAATGGTATGGTTTTGGTCTCGCCTTGGTGCCTCGTGGCCGCTTGGAATGGCGTCGATGCGCTGAACGGCCGAGGTCGACAGTGGCCGAACGGAAGCGGAGGAGGAGGATGAGGATGATGATGAGGAGGAGGAAGATGAGTCGTGAGTGGAGGAGGAGGGGAGGGGGGATGAGAAGGATACGGAAGATCATGCTGAGGATACACATGAGATGGTGAAGAGGGGTGTAGAGGTGGAGGGTGATGAGCAGGAGGGAGCTGGGTGAGGTGGAGGAGGACAACGCTGTTGATCGATAAGGGCGCGTTGCAGGAGGTGGAGGGAACCAGTTAGGACTTGTGGGAGGATGAGGATGTTAAGGGAGGCGACTGGAGGAACACTTGGTGGATGGTGATGATGACGGCGACGATAGCAGTGCCATAGTGGATCATTATGATGCGCGGCCTGTTGCTGCGATTGGTAAGGGTACGTATGATGATGATGGTGGCAGCACAGCCGCCGGTGACGATGCTGATACGAATGCTGATGCGTATGACCTTGTTGGTGATGATGTTGGTGATGATGACGATGCTGTAGACGAAATGCAGGTGCCTGGCGATGGTGATGCGTATGTCGAGTTCGACCATGGTGATACTGCATGGTGTGGACGGCACTGGTAGGCATGATAGTGAGGTTGATGATGACGAGGTGAGTAAACATGAAGTATGCGGCGGTCACGATGGTGATTAGGATGATGGCATCGACAACGACGACGACGATGATGGTGAGGATGATGATGATCTTCTTGATACTGATGCTGATGCTCATGCTGACGCTGAGGCTGAGGC